GACAAGCTTACAAAGCATGCTCGTCTTTACAAACTCATACTGTAGTACATCCCCATTGACACACAAGTACACAAAACACATATTATAAAAATATCGAACTTTTAACGCATATATAACATATCAAAAATCTCGAGAAACTTCAAACAACTTGTGGATAATAAGGCATGCAACCATTTTAAAAATAAATCACGTGTAACTCACAATACATGACATAGCTCAAACCGATCTTTGAAGTGGCTAGCGTCTCCCGATTGGCGTCAAACTAGCTACGATGTAGAGCATCGTCAACTCTCATTACAGCGTCCACCGTCGCCTTTTCTCACAATAGTTCTCATTCTTAACCCCAAGCTACACTTAAAGCTACAAACTCCCATTTTATACTAAACCCCATCGGCGGTTTCACGAAATATGAAACGATAAGTCATGATTAATGGTCGTTGGTTTCATGACCATTGAGTTTCCTGTCATTAAATTACATTCAATTTTTTTCTTTTTTTTTTTGTTATTACACATGATTTGTGTTAACTTATTATTGATTTTGTTATTTTTTTTAATATTGATTTTCAAACTCAAATGTTTATGAATTTGTGATTGGTGGAGGAGACCCGGTAGTAAAGTTTTCGGTATCGTTCAAATTGACATATACGAAAGATGATGAACATGTGTAACCATATTAACATAAATTCACATATGAGAACATTCGTACAACCATATAAATAGAACTCGACATATATGAACCATTGTGTCAATTACAAACATAAATTGACATATATGAACACTTGTGTCAATAACGAAAACAGATTGACTTGTATGTACAGTTGGTATAAATATGAACACATATTGACTCAAATGAACATACGAAATATGATGAACATGTGTGACCATATGAACAAAAATTCACATATATGAACATTCGTTGGAATTGACCTCATAACTACAAGATTTTTCTTTGATTTTATACAAATTTTGCAACACAATAGCTACAGGCTGTCAAAATTCAGGTTGACAACATTGTACAAAGTGACTGTTTACCAATCTTAAAGCTATAATTAGATTATGACGTCTCTATATAAAATAATCTAAATTCATATCTTTCAAATGCCACTAGACTCACCCTTATACGATTTTTTATGATTTTATACAATTTTTCTAAAACAAGATAAAACATTGACTTTCAAGTCCCAAAATAGCGATTTATACCATTTCATACACAATTCTATACCATATTGAACCAAATCCAAATGTTTATCATAAAAGAGCACAATCTTCATAAAAACTTCAGAAATCTATTATGCTCTTTCCATCAAAATCATCATTTTGACTACTTGACTTTGAAAAGTCAAACATTCATACTTTCACCCAATAATTTCAACTAATTCTACTAATTTTATCCATCATTTTACTAAATAACAATATATATATATATATATATCTAATATACTCAAAATACCAAAAATTTATCAATTTCACATCAAACTCTAACCTTAATCTCCATCAAAATGATCCAATACATGAACTAGACAAAGTTAGGAGATTTATACCTTCAATTTCTTGTTTGATTCACCAAGAATGATGTTAGATCCTTCCTATATGTGTGAAATCGCACCTCATTAACCCCAAAAGTAAAATGGGGCCAAAATTGGGGTTTTCCCGAGTTAAACATGTTTTGGGTCAGGTTGACCCATCACCCATTTTGACCACCTAATACTAAAATTTTCATAATTTTTCGCTCGGATGTTCGTTTTTGAGAAGGTTTTTGCCTACGCGTTCGTAACAAGATAATATATAATTTTCAATAAAATAATTATAGAAATAAATCCCAAAAAAAGCAGTTTTACATATTTGTAGGTGTTATGCTTTTCTTTGCGATTTTGGTTTTTGATTTTAAGCTTGGAATCCGGTAAAAAATTTCTGACACCTCCAACAACTCCTAATAGGTCCAAAACTTAGTTCCAAAGCTTAACATTCCATCAAACACCACCCATTTGAGTGTTGCGCACGTAGTTTACCGAAATAGTAACGTATATTGTAAAACTTGCATAAAATGCAATCTATGCGACTTTTTCGACTTTCGCCACTTCTAACATTTCATATAAACTTATTTAAATGTGTTCAAACCTTTAAATTGACATATAAGAAAGATGATGAACATGTGTGACCATATGAACACAAATTCACATATGAAAACATTCGTACAACCATATAAACAAAACTCGACATATATGAACCATTGTGTCAATTACGAATATAAATTGACATATATGAACACTTGTGTCAATTACGAACACAAATTGACATATATATATATATATATATATATATATATATAGTTGGTATAAATATGAACACATATTGACACAAATGAACATACAAAAGCTGATGAACATTTGTGACCATATGAACACAAATTCACATATATGAACATATGTACAACCATATGAACACAACTCGACATATATGAACTCTTTTGTCAATTATGAACACAAATTGACATATATGAACCCTTGTGTCAAATACAAACACAGATTGACATATGTGCACACTTGTGCTGTTTACGACTTTTTTTCCATATACACCCCCTGTTCATACATGAACAATTCTCATAAATATCGAATACTTGTTCACATTTGAATCATTAACAAAAAAACTGTAGAAAAATCTGGTGTCAGGGATCTTGCTGTTGGTTTTGATTCGATGACGAGATTAATTCCCGGATAGTTACATTGTTATTAATGGGCAATTATAAAACATCTCATTGTCATTAATGAGCGATTACAAAACATCTTATTGTCATTAATGGACAACTGAAATCTTTTTCCAAAATACTCATTGTAAATATTGTTCACTTATGTTACCTTGTCTGTGTATACAACTAATTACACTTTATGTCATGAATGATCTTAGCCACAAATTTCAAAGATCAATGGCCAAGATTTGTTAACAAAGTTAACACAATAAATTTGGTAAACATTTGAACCAGCCCCTATATAAATATATGTATATGTATGTGTGTGTGTGTGTGTATATATATATATATATATAGTATATCTAGTTTGGATTGCCATTTGTTGGGAAACGTTATGATTGCTGTAATTGGAAACATCCCATTTACTGCCGTTATACTGTCGAAATTGACTGGTAGCTTTTTTAAACCATAGGGTATCTATTCAAACGATCTCACCAAAAAGTACGGTGAGGATCCCTCGGCCTATCCCCTAGTTGATACCGACTTATGGAATGAGGCAGTTGGGTGATCCAAGAAAGACCGTCTATTTGGTTCGGGTACAATCAAGATCTCAATTTGGTTTACACCCTCACAATCAAACTCGAGTGGATCGTCTAATGTAGATAATCATCTGTGTACCTCTTTATTCTTTGATGTTATCTATTTCATTTATATTTCTTATTGGAAATTTTAACGTTTTATTGTATTTGTAGTTAATTAACGACTTACAGTCCCAAATTCAATAAATTTGCACTTGAGATGAGATCCGACAGAAGGAGGTTGACGAAATTCTCTGCGGAGAAGAGATCCAAAACAGGGAAGATGAGATCCGGAAGAAAGAACATGCAAACATGATGGATATGCTGAAGAGGTATTTATCACGGATTTATGGATTGTATATTTGTATTCAATTTTCAAGATCTTTATATTTTAGGATTTTTTATTAGGATGTTTTTTGTTTTTTTTTCCTATACCAGTTACATTTCTAACGGTTTTCAGGTGGAGAATCCGTCGGTAAATAATTAAATTTAAGCTTTATTAAAACAAATTTTCTGGCGGATTGTCCGACGGAATATCTGTCAGTAAATATTTTCATTTATTAAAAATAAAAAGCATTTCGTATTTTAAATAAGAAAAAACATTTTATAAAATATAATTACCGACGGAAATTCCGATGTTCAATCCATCGGAAATTTGTATTTTAATTATTGAAATTAAAACCGGTTATTATTTTGAATAAAAGTTTAAAAAAAGGAAATCACATTACCGACTGAATTTCCGTCAATAAAAATCACATTTTCTAAAGCTTTTAATTAATTCGAAAAAGTTATAGTATATTATAAAACTGTTCGATGGATTTTTCGCGGATTTTTCCGCTGAAAAATACAAATCCGTCAGAAATTCCATCAGGAAATTGAATTTAGCGGTGAGGGTTTTTCCGACAACAAGATATGTCGAAAAGGTGTGTTTCGACGGCAAAATGAAAAACCCATTTTTTAGTGGTGTAACAAAAAACGTGAGAGAAAATAATTTGAAAGGAGGCTTAATTGACCCAGTCACCATATATATGGCAATGACGTATCGTCCTCTCTCAACATTAAGGGGTCATTTACCTAAATGTTTATTCCGTAAGTGTTTATCATTAGGAGTCAATATTATAATTTATTTTATCAGATAAGATTGTAGTACATCAAAAGGGTATCGTATGCAACAATTTACCCGGTAAGCACTTACCCGAGTAAAAGTCATCACCCTCACTTACCGAATAAGACTCTCCATCTTTATCATTGCTCTTAGCTGGTAAGTTTTTTGACTCTTGCCATGTTCATCGGGTAAGGAAAATTACCCGGCAAACACTTACTGGGTAAATGTTTAGTAAACGGTCCCTAAGTAGGCTTCACTTTACGTTGTATCATGGAAAAAAAATTGTATGTCCCTGTTTTAGTTTTATGTTCTTGAATGTTCCAGTAATCATTTTAAAACATTATTTTTAATTTTATTAATTGGGGAAATAAACGAATAAACGATGTGTTGATAAGGATAAGAAGAAATGAAATTCTGGGACAAGTGATCTTTTCCCTGGATCGTGGAAGTCAAGTAATTTAATTAAAAACGACATAGATTTTTCACCGGAGCACCGTTAGTAATAGTGTTCTTCGATGGCTCACTGCCGTTGGTGATAACAGGTTCTTTTTGTAGTGATATAAGCTTTATTTTGAACGCTTGGAGGACCTTTTAATGTTTTGAAATATTATTGCAATCAACCATCAGTGTATAGTAATGTAATCTTTACTAGTGGTCACAAACACAGAACTGGTACAAAGTACTAAAATTAAACATGTACATGTATATAAATAAATTTTGCATCGACAAGCAAATAATAGCTTGAAGTTAACTCGTCCATCCGAACTATTCTGGTAACAATCAATTGAACTATCGCCTGGCGATCTTCTTGGAAAGCACGTAAAGCGAGAGCCATACAAGCAGTAGAAGTGTTATTGAGGATACAAGTGAGAGAAGAATAGAGGCTGCAAAGTGGAAACAGAAGGAACCATAAGTATGGCAGATCTTGTTCCATCTGCTATGAGAGTTTCCTTTGAGTCCAATGTAAGCTACTCCTCCTGCTGCTCCCGTTGCAGCAGCCACTATGCCCAACAGCAGCTACAACATATCCATTAATCGTAAGTTACTTTCCCCTAAAAATTGGTCTTTTAGGCCCCCACTTTGTGTTTATAGGAACAACAACTTTATGTTTTTTATAAAGCAACCATAGTAAATTGTTAGAACAAAGTTAAATGACCTAACAAATTCGATAGACAAAAAATCAAACAACCTGATAAGGTACAAGAACCGTTCTATTGGTATTTGAATAGAACACTTTTGAAACGTGTCATATATATATATATATATATAAATACTAATACGACACTTTTTATAATATGTCTTATAGAAAGGTTAATCGAACCGTTTAATTTTTTAAGTGTTATTAGGTTGTCCAACTTAATAGACCTTCTAATTTCATTGAATACTTATTAGGAGGTCCTAAAAACGTATTTCATTTTTTTAAGTATATAAACCCTCCTCACCTTTAGTGAAATTTAAATTCCTGACCTTCTAGGAGGTTAAAGGATACGATACTGCTAGGTCAAAGACTGTTTAGTTAAAAGACTTTTTTTTTTTGTAGTGTGGGATGAAACTTGGGACCATTTTCCAAAAAATTAGCATGGGTTAAGAGCTTACTGCATCTAGCATAACGAAATGAATCTGTAGCTTCGTGGAGATCCCTCCTGGCTTCATGAGTGACAGAACTGATACCAAACCAGTTATGATGCTGTACAAACTAGCCACCGAGAGTGCTGCTACGAAGTATCTGCATATCATAACCAAAAAAAAAAACAATATCTTATTCAATTCGATCTTCCAAACATGCGACATTAGAGTTAAAGTATTCTTAAACATACGATGACGAACACTTACATGTAAGCTGGGGAGTGATTGAACTTTGCATCCCTGGTTACGGTGATCCCCGGTGCAATCGGAATTTGTTTGGTTTGTTTAGAGGTGACCATAACAATGATCCCAACCAAGGCCGTTGCAAACAGCAACACCCTCAACAACACATCAAGCAACGCATGCTTCTTGAAACCACCACCTCCACCRGTATACTTTGGTGGTGGTGCCGACCCTATTTTCAGCGGCACCTCCATACTAGCGGCGGCATGTGGAGGAGTTGCGGTGTCATTGGATGCCATGGCTGCCGGAGATATGATCAGCAAAGTTTGGTTGGACCTTGGATAGAGTTGGTGGCGTGTACATTTATAGAAGATTAAGTCAACTGATTGGATGTTCAGACACGTATAGATCCAAGTAATATGATATGGTTGATTAATTATAGCTTGTTCATTCTTTCTTGATTATGTGGGCTTAATTAGTGGATATGTATGTATAGGTTTGCGGTTTAGACACGTATTAATATACGATTGGTCAATGCATGATAAAAGTCAAAGGTAGTTGGCCAACGGCTTATTTATTGCGCTCTTAATTATTGTAGATAATCTCGTTACGTTATTTTATTTAGACATTTCTCTAAAATAACAAAAAATAAACAGTTTTATTCTTAATTTTCTTTTAATATATTCTTTTTTAAAATAGAGAAAAATAAAAACTTAATATATTCTTCATTTAACTTATCAGGTAATATTTTTAATCTACTAAAATGATCATATTCAATATTTTTATCTGGTAAGCGTTTACCGAGTAAGAGTCATCACCTTTACTTACTGGGTAAGACTCTGGGTCTTTATCATCATTTTTTTTTTGTAAGGGTGTCCGGGCCAAAGCCCGACTAATCCCCGGCAAATTTGGAGGCTAAACATGGCCTCACTTAAATGTCGCCAACACTCCCTTCCCAGAGCTCGAACTCGGGTTCATAACTATGTCATGCCCAAGCCTTTACCACTAGGCTGGAAGGTCTTTGATTTATCATATTCATCTGATAAGGTAAAATGACCCGATAAACGTTTAGTAAATGGTCTTTTAGTTTTGGTTCTTTGATGTGTTTTATATCTACTAAGATAGTTTAGACATATGAAATAAATCTTTAATCTTCCATGTGATCGCTCTTATTTTTCATACTAGAATTGTATATATCAATACGCTTGATATTTTGATTATGAAGTTGAAAACTCTGGTCATCAACTATGATTTATGCTTCATTGTATTCCTTCTCCTTCATTTTGAGAGAACAACAGATCAATCTTCGGTTGGTTATTAGTTTATTAGAGTATTCTTATGTATTAAGGGTCAAAGTCTATCTTGTATTTGAACATATTTATCAGTTTGTTATCAGTTAGTTTTCTGAAACTCAAATTTAAAGCTTTGACGTATGTAATAAGTTGTAAAATTGATTTTTAACAGATTTAAAAACGTGAATAAAATGTTTTACAATATAGTAAACATATTAGTATGAATATAATCACATGTGAATATATTTGTGATTGAAATTTTGAAGACGTGATAGAGGTTTAAACAAGAATAGTGTCATAAAATGGAAATACGATAATAAATCTCAATATTAAGATCAAATGATAAGAATGATGTTATTAAAAATGGGGTTGTAACAAAAAAAATACTCATAATTTTTAATCGAAAATGGGCTCAATACAACAAAAATTGAAACAAAAAATATATAAATTAAAAATACGAGCATTTCGTTTTTTAATTTGACAACCGTATTATAATTCATGGTGTTCTAGAGTTCTTGTATTAAGACGTGCTAATTTTTACGTTTAAATTGCAGCTTGTTGAAGCTTACGTAAAACAGTTATTGAACAATAAGGAGATATAAAACATGTTTTATATCGAAGAAATATTGTTGAACAATCTTCCATAGATAGTATTATTACCCTTAAGTTTTGCTTGCATTACATGTGAAATATTTAAGTAGTCATTAGCATTTGGGCTTTGTTTAGTTTGTTGTATACGGTTAAGAGTTAATTGGTTCTTTAGTGGAAAGGTTGATATCGAATAAATCCCAACAATTTCAGGTGTCGAGAATATCGACCCTACCTTTCATAGCATGCTTTCCCGTCTGTGTCGCAACTGATCCAGACTACAACGAAATTCTTTAATCTAAACGGAATAAGTGATCTTGTGCAAGAAATGGATACAACAAGAAGCAATAAGTTGTTATCTCTCGTGTATTTCCTTATAAAACTCGCAATGATATTATTTGTTGCGACTATAACAATCAAGAGGATTATAACCTCCATGACCACAAAGGGATTTTTATTCCTCCTTGAATTTGAACCTGAGACCTCGAGACACCTTTAACCTTTGGAATCAAGTTCAAACCAATCAGACACCACTCTTATGGTTGATTATTTGGTATCTTATATTGAAGAAGATGTTTTTACTAAGGTTGATGAAGATATCATCGATAAGTTTCAGAAAATGAAAAATCCAGTCACCATTAAACCTATAAAGGTTGGAATATTATGAATATATATTATTATCTTTTTGGCATTTTCAGATAATTAATATTTATTTATATTTTAATTGGTACACCCCCTCGTATATATGCCTAGCTCTGCTGTATGTCCATCCTTATGAATCATAACCTACCCACAATTTTAATTGGGCTTTCAATTCAAGCAAGGAAGAAGGAACAAAGTAGGACTCTATTTTGTTTTTTCATTTTTCTTTGATCATTTTCTTGGCTCCATGACGCGGAGGACAGGGACCTTGGTGTTGTTGGAAGTCCATGATCGGGTCAATAGAAGCTTTGTGCTTAAACGCACATAATTTATGTTACAAGTCTCCTTTTTGAGATCCATGATACACCGATTTGAAGCTTAGAACGAGGAGCAGGCTTTGGATAAGCTTGGGATTTTTTAGGCCAAAGAACGTCGTCTAAACATGTTTTGAGACACGTATATGTTTTTTCTTCCTATTTTCTATTTTTTGTTTGTGCTTTTATGTTGAGCCCATCACTGCTTTTCAGGCCCTTTCATTTTGAACTCTTTATTTATTTGTAGAAGGTGTAAGATGGATAGTCGTCGTTTCAATTACAAGAACCTCATTTTTCATCGAGGTTATGAGTTCTCTTTGGATTCGAGTGTGAGACTAAAGTTTGGCATTAGATCAAATTGACAAGCTTTAGAAGAGGTGAATCCTGCGCATTCATAAAATCAACAGGTTTAATCTCGAGTTCCATTATTGTATGTTGTATCATGCCATCTTTGTTTTTTTCTTGAATCTAACTAAATGAGATCCACAATCACATTGTTTCTAACAATATCTTTAATTCAAGATTTGTATAAACAGGGAACAATTACCCCTAGCTAATTCATTCATTAAACCAAAACCCTTATTCATTAAACCAAAACCATCATGCAACACTAATTTTACTTTATCAGAAACTTAATTAGTCACATCATAGAATATCTGGTATTGCAACAAAGACGGTGAATAAAACAAAACATGAAACAAGATTGTCGTTATGAATTCTTGTCTTCAAAATCGAGTATGTGCAACTTCCCACATGGGTACATTTATATATGTGTGCATATATATACATACATACATATAGGGGGGGACTTCTTTTAAAAACCTTTCAATTTATGAGATCCATGAGATCTAATATATATCACAAGTCATATTAAAGCAAGGGTTAAATTAGGAAATTTGTAATTTTGATACATTTGAAATAAAATTTTCAATAAAGACTATTTTGAATATTTTACAAATTTTCTCTCTCCTGTCATCAACAAAATGATCTACAAACTAAACAAAACCAATCAAATAGCCTAACACATTGTAAACGCTCAGTAACTTAACAAGTATCACAAAGTAACCAATTGTGAATACAATTTGAATACAAAAACACCAGAAGACAAAAAACAAAAACTACAGATCACTAAAAATATTTTGTAATGACTTGGATACAAATTGTGAGCAAAATTAGTAATCAAGTTTGAACACCTGTCAAACTTCTAGGGTGAACCAAAAACCAAAAATCTATAATATCACGATGTGAACCACTATCAAATATGTTGTTTCAATTAAACATTGTGACCACCTATTCTTTCACACACTGTGATCACCTTGTGAAAAATGTGACACAATGATACTAAGAACAAAAAACAAAAAAAACTAAAGATCCCTAAAGTATCGTGTAAGGACTTGGATACACATTATAAACACCTACTTTTTTTATACATTGTGACCATCTTGTGAACATAATGTGACAAAACGACACCAAGAAAAAATACAAAAAATAAAATAAAGATCCCTAAAAGTATCGTAACCGGGTTATTGATTATAAAGTTCGAGGATGTTTTTAAATTAAGGTGGAATGTTGAGGGTTTTGTTCTATTTTTATGCTTAAAATGATTTTAAACTCTTTTAAACCCCACCATCTCAAGATTTATATGCATTATATGAGATAATCTTATTATCTCATTGGAATTGGGGAATAAAAGTGAAAAAGAAAATTGGTTAACTTCCTTTGTATTTTTGGAGCCGAGAAATTTGAAGCAGTTAAAGAAGGAAAAAAGGGAAGTTGATTATGTGATTACTTCTTAGATAATTGTTGTTGTTTTCAATCTTCATCTCATTGTGATTATAAGGTGAGTTTATTTATAACTTTCATTTTATTTGGTTGAAATTGGAACCATAGGGTTCCTTACATGGGAATGATATAAAATAGTTTTTGATGCTATCATTAGCATAATTGTGGAATTTTGATATGTTTATATCAAGTGAATGGAATAAGGGTAACATATCAAAGAGAGATGTATTTTGGTTATTAAGGTGACATATCAAGGAGAGGTGTATACTAGGATAAAGGTGACATAATGAATGGAATGTAAAAATATGTGTTTTTGATCAATTTCGAAATTGTTGTTGCATCCTTTTGATGCAATGATCTTGAGTTTTTGCATATGTGTGATGCGATGACTTAAGTTATCGCATCCAATTGATGGGATGAATGGATTTTGACGCATCCTTATGATGCGATGAGTGAGTTTGTCGCATCCTTGTGATGCGACATAATGAACTTATCACATCCTATTGATGTGACAAGTTGGGTTTATCACACCAGTGTGATACGATGAGATGGGTCCTCGCACAGTGTGTTTCGAGGAAATGGGGTTGTCTCATCCATAAGATGCGAGGAATTTATGTTTTCATCTATCTGATGCGATGAGTTTAATCATAATGTGATAAATGAGTTGTTTGACTATTTGATGCGAGAATTGGATAATGTCTCATCATTTTGATGCAACAAAAGAGGTTTGTTTTATTAAAGTACTGTTTATTCGTTATTGATACAAATAGGACTTTATACAAGTG